ATTCTTTAGGGTAGCTGTGTACTGACGTTGCCGGAAGAGCCGATGACTTCTTTGTTCAGCTCATTGACTGCCAAGGAAATCCACGGAGACTTTCCATCCGCAAGATTCAGTAGAACTTCCTTGAGGGTAGCTTTGTGCTTGTCAGAAATACTATTCATGCGTTAGATACTTTCTGAAACAAATGATCTGAGGTCTTCTGTTCTCTTTTCAGTGTATTCTTTATCTAGGTTATCCAAGTTGATTTGCAACACCGTCTGAATCTGATCTTGTAATGAGCGGTTAACGATGAGAGTTTCATTTTTTCTAAAGACTCCCAACGATAGACCTATTAGATCCTTCCGGTTTTGCTTGAAGAAATGACATCGAGTCATGATCGCGCTCATCAAGTCCGTCCAAGATTAGAACTACATTCTCTGGAATTTCTTTGACCATAGACTGAGAGATACGCCATAAATTTTCCCTGTGAAAATTCCTGGCAACAGTTCCATCTTGACGGCGAAAACTATCAAACTCACCCAGATATCCTGGTATAAACTTCTCTTTGCTCTTAAAAGCTGAAAGATCAGACTCCGAAGTACACATAATGCCGAATTGCTTTGAGAATTACTACTGTCGCAGTAGTATCTCAAAACCAGATGACGTGGTTCTCGAGAGTCTACAAACGAAACCCAGCCGCTCTCCAAAAAGATGAAAAGGTATGTTTTCCCTTTTACGGAATCACTGTACATCTATAGGGAATTTTTGGAATTAGGTATCAAGCTCTACTCAAGGATCTGAGTATTCGCACTTCTTGCTAGTATGTTTCCACTTGCGACAGAGAATTTGGTTTCGATCACCATTGAACGTTCGGAATTCGCAACTAGAGAACATGTTAATTATGCTCTACAGATCACCAGTCCCATCAGCAAAGGTTCGAATACGCCCAAGATTCAAGGAAACTCCTATACTGGTTCTATATGGGAGAAAAAACAGGTCAGAATTGATCACTAGTTGTTGGTATCACTATGGGGATGTAAAGTCAATATAATACTATGATTCACATTGTTGTGATATTACTTGAGATTCTAAAAGCTAAGACTATGAAACATATTACTATAATGTCGAAAGGTATCAGCGTTAATGCTAATGTGATTATATAATTCCTATTCTAATATCAATAACTCTTAAATACTAATAATATATCCTTTCTAGTTAATTCTTTTTTATTTATATATCTATCCTTTTAATCTCTATCAATTCATTTTATACTCTTAATCTTTATTATATTATTATCAATTAGATTCTTTGAAACTTAATATAGCTTGAACTTAGTTATTATATATATAAGATTAAATTCTTTATTAATTTATTTAGTTTCTATAATCTCTTATTTCTTATATATCTTCTGAATTATTATTATATTAATTATTAGTTTCTTCTCATTAATGAAAGGTTTACCTCCTTGATAATCTTATTATTCGTGAGGATTATAATACTATTGTTACGGGAGCTGCCTCTAGGGTCACGTGGAAGTGTCTAGAGATCTCTCGAGGTGGTTTAGACTAGACTTCAAGTAGGAATTCAATAAGGTTGGTAACTGGTTGCAATTCTCGTAACTATAGTAATGAAACTAATGATTGTTCTTGAGCACGAAGCTCTACATTGTAATGAAACCCATTCTTTATATAGACCTTCGTTCCTTGTTGTCCCATTGATCCCATCGTGTCCCACCAGGTGGGAGCAGTGGGATCCAGTGGGAATCTCTAATCCCGTGACTTTCTGATCAGGTGACTCGGTATGTTAGATGTCGTCGTAACAACTATATATATATATAAAATAAAAACTCTTATTTAATGAGACTCAATTTAAACGATCTAATTGATCAAAGTGAATTTTGACTTTATTATTATTATAATATAATATAATATCTGAAAACATTAATTATCTTTTTTAACAAAACTATTTTAATTGAATTAAAAAAAGAATCAAAAAAGTAATAATTATATAGAATAAACTGAAAGCTTTTAAATAATATAATTTTTATAATTCTAATTTTAAGTATAAAGTTTATATAAAGAATTAAAGTTTATATGTGATATTTTAAAGCGAATTAAGGGTTTATTGACTTTTTTAATATTATTAATAATATATACACAACGGAAGAATTGAGAATTTATTATTATTATTAGTATTATTATTAGTATTATTATTAGTATTAAAAGAATTGAAGAAGTTAAAAGGAGGTAAACCGACTTTCTTTACAAGCTCTTAATACAACTACTATTCAAAACTATATTTAAAAGTTTATAATAATAAAAATCATTAAATAATACTTTCTCAAAAAGCAAGCGGTCCGGGGGCACGCAGACCCCTAATAATATTAAGTTTTGTAAGATAGTTGTAAAGTAATTTAAAGTTGATATATATGATTAATAGGATTTTGTAATTTAGGAAAAATCTATTGATAATTCTTTTAACTATAATATTAATACCAGGGGCCTGCGAGCCCCCGGAACCCTTGCTTTTCGAGAAAGTATAATATAATAAATTTTTTCATTATTAAAATTTAAAAAGAAGTTTATTAAATGCTTACAGACGAAGTTGTTTTATCATTAGATTACTTTTCTTTTTTATAATGTTTATAATGTTTATTTTTCTTAAAATTTTGATTTAATGATTTTGTTTTGAATTATATTTTATTATTATTATTACAGGCATCGATCGGTTCGACATCGGGCCGACTATTATTCCGATATTAAAGAGTTTATATATATATATAGCTTCAAGAAAAAGTTTGAAAAGGAATTAATGAAAAGTCTTTGAATTTGACTATGTTCTATTATAATACTAGTCTTCACCTTATATTAATTCTTATAATTATATTATAAAAGCTTTAAGTATTAAAACAATTTTATTAATATAGATCCTACTACATCTAATATATTCTCTTTCATATTAATTATATAAGCTTTAAATCCTTTAAAAGAATTTAACTTTAATTTATTATATAAACTCTAATTTTAAAGCTAATATTATAAAAATTATTTCAATTACAAGCCCTTGGCTTATTCTATAAAGTTATCTCTTTTTATTTCTTTTATTTGAATTAATTTCAATAAAATAATTAAAATAGATTTCATTAAAAAAATAGATTTAAATTGTAACGCTATAATATTATAATATTATAATATTATAATACTTCTATTCTTATAGACAATAAGTAGTACGTGTATAGTGTGAAAGAAGGACGAAGTTCTTATTATGCTATGTAGAAGCTATTTATATGTACCTAGGTACTCTGTTGCGCTAGTATTAGCGTATCAAACAGTTCGAATAATCTCCTCTGAGGCGTCTGTCATAGGGAAGGGCGGGCGAGATTTGGCCACGAATTATAATGTATATGGATTAATGGAAAGGCGTGTATCTTGAGGACGTTGGTAAGTATGGTGGGTATGAGAGAACTCACTTCTGGAGGTATAGTTGTGTTCTAATACGAATTTGTATTTCGAACAGATAGTCACTAGGACTTGCTATCATTTAGTACATGTATGATATGAAAGAAGGACGAAGTTCTTATTATACTATGTAGAAGCTATTTATATGTACCTAGGTACTCTAGTACGCTAGTATTAGCGTACCAATAAGATTATTAAGGAGGTAAACCTTTAATAATAAGTATATTAAAATTTAATAAAATTATACTTATTCGAATAAAATAATACTAAACTTGAACTAAATAGTATTAGTTTTTATTCTTTAATAGACATTACTATAGACATTACTATAGAGAATAAAATATAAACTAAAATTAATATAAAAGTTGTTATTATATTATTAATTACTCTCATTCATATAAAAACAAATATCAAATTATAATAAATTAATATAAGTTTTTTTAAAAGAAATATCAACCTTAATTCAAAACACATATTATAATTAAGTTTAAAGTATTAGATTTCTAATTTATATTATTACTAATTATTACTAATACTATTATAGAAATAATAAAGTCAATATAATATTATAATTCACGTTATTATAATATTATTTAAGATTCTAAAAGCTAAGACTATGAAACATATTACTATAATACTAAAAGGCGCTAGCGCTAATATTAGCGTAGTTATATAATTCCTATTCCGATACTAATAAAGCCCTTTAATAATCTAAATGTTCCATTCCGATTTAAAGAATTAAATTTTTTTATAATTTTTATAATTGAAAGTTATTCAAGGATTTACTTGTTGTTATTAATTTTTAGAATTTTATTATTGCTTGAATTATTATAGAATTTATTAGAATGATTAACTTTGACCTCTTTTTTCTCCTACGAATAGGCTAAATAATACAACCAATTCAAATTCCCCATCTCGCTTGAGTACCCCATACAGACGAATCCACCTAAGCGCCCTCATCAGTGAACTCGCAGTCTCTGAACCAATGAATAGTCCGGTGGGGCATAGATCTGCCACACCCAAATATACATGCGTTCTGCATGATAAGATCGACAACTTAGAGCAGAGCGAATCCAATTTCGTGGGCATTATCCTCATTTATATAATTTACCGCTGGGTTAATTACCCCTGCGAATACGAATGTGGGACGATATCCAATGAATTCAAATCAACTGAATGAGGGTGCACTCGATGTAAAGATTCTCTATCGAAAGATGCAACGTATGCCAAAAAAAGATCAAGCATGCGTTTACATCGCCGCGAAGCCAGTGTGCCTCATAACCCAAAAAATATCAAGAAAATCTGTTCGAAAAAAAGTGGTGGCTAAATAGTATTAATAGTTGAGATTAGATACACTCAAAATGTTGTGTTTTTCCTCCAAAATTTGTATTCTGAAATTTTCATTGTGGTATCCAACACACATCTAATAAGAAAACCTCGGAATCTCGATTATCTGCTCAAAAGCCTACAATAACACAACAATCCCGAGTATCCAGCTCTCTCCATTCATAAACTAAACTTGTGAACAAGAATTTTAAACCATCATCTCCTCCAAACCCTCAAAATATGGTAACCACCCCCCCTCTCCCCACAAAATAAGAACAGACCTCCTAACCGAGACTCAGTCCGGACTCGAAATCATCGGCGCCCTATCCGCCATATCCGGCCTCTTAGAAAGCAGCATAAATCTCCTCAGCCGCCTCCGCCGAACCTACAACGACCAGAAAAACGCCTCCCAAGTACTCGGAGCCCACGTTGTCGAGATCCAAGGCCTCCTCACCATTCTCGAGCTCGTCAAACATGAAGCGAATCTACGCACTGCGGGCGTCCTCTCCGAGATTGAGAATATTCGCAAGATAGCGATGGAGTTGATGAGTAATTTGGAAGTAATGTTATCAGGGGAAAAAAGCCAAGCACGGCGTTTTGCGCATCAATTCCTACAAGGGACGAAAGAACAAGAGATACTTGCGAAACTGATGGAGCGGCTGGAGCACGCAAAGTCGAATTTGAGTCTGAGTTTACATGTTGCTCATGTGGGAGTGACGCAGTTTGTGGGTGATAAAGTTGCGATTAACATGGATATTTTGAATCGAGTAGATGGGCTACTGCGGAATGTGTTTGGAGATGATGGAGGTCTTAAGATTGCTGAAGCAGTTAAGAACTATCGCCCCGAAAGTATGCTGCCATTCCACTCTTCTCTTTCGAGAATCCGCTGACAGATACCAGAAGATGGATTGGTACATATCAAGAGTGAAGAACTTTCACTGAGAACAGACAAAGATGGGAAACAGGCGGGACCAGTTTCTAGTCGAAATGTCATGAGGAATGTGACCAGAGACCAAGCTCTACAGATCAATGGACCCATTGGAGAAAAGGGGTGGCGAGAGGTATCGCAGCTGGAAATTATAGAAAACGAAGCTGCTGGAAATGGCCTCCAAATAAACCATGCGATTTCTGAAGATATGTTCATTCGGTTGCTGGCGCAAAGAGACCGAAATCAGTCGGATGGTACACTGGGACCAATTATGCAAGTCAGCGCCAGGCCTTGTGTTCCTGTTTGTAGTCGCTCTTCCATTATGCCTAAGATTGAAACTAATGAGATCAGCGAATAAGCTGAGAATTAACTAGGAAAATATACTTATATCTCCTCCTATATAAATCATTTTAATAAATGAGAATTATAAACATATACACATAACACACACACACATAGAAACAGACACAAGCATAAAGTAAATTCACAATATAACAAATATATTAGCCTCATGAATTCTCTCTTTCTCTTCTTCCTAAACTACACCTCGCACCCCGCACTCCTCATCTTCACCCACCATCTCTCTTCCTCTCCTGACATCCATAAAGCAGTAGCTAGTATAGACAAGCAAAGCCAAATTATTAATACACATAAATTTACACAGCAACTCTGCCCTTTCTTCTCTCCCCAATGAAGCGAAATTGAGCTAATCCAAGTTACGACATTTCAAACTTGTTCCCTGATTCTCAAGTGACCATCACAAGCGAACCCCTATTTCCTCTTCTCTTTTCTCCCTTTCTTTCTTATCCTCCTCTTTCCTTCTTCTCTCCCACTCCAAATCAACCAACAACGAAAACAGAATCCAAGCCAGTAAGCAAGAAAGCGCAAGAGCAAATTCAACAACAGCGAACGGGGTATAACCACAACCAGCCAACCGACCAACCAAGAACGCGCCCAATCAAATTTCAATAAGCAATTTGGGCCAACTAAAAGCAAAACCAATGCCAATCAGATAGCAAAGTAGCGACAAGAAGCGCACTACTCATTAAAGTGCCTACAGATTAAAACGTCCTACCTCCCTCCCCTTCAAAAATTTGTTAAACGCCATTCTTCCATTTTCCTGCCATACTCGCCATATAATCATTCCTCCTATCTCTCATCCATCAAGAGAACAAATCATCGGAGTTTTTTTGAGGAAAGCATCATGCGTATCGTATATACATAATCGTCGTGATGTATCTTTTTTTTTCGTGCAATGAAACTTGCTTTAGTTTTATCCAGTGATTGTGGTATCAACTTCTGCTTCCTCTTCCTCACTTTTCCCCTCGGCGACGGCTTGATGTGCCGCTCTTTCATGATAGATTCTTTGTCTGCCAATTTCGGCTGCATGTAAACTATCAATGTATGTTGTAAACTTTACAATTTCGCGAAGCAGATATGAAGATTTCTTTTCCCAATTCGCCATTGCTTTTTGCGCGTTAGGATGACGCGGTGAATACTGTACTAGGTTAGTGAAAATAAACCACGAGGAAAATTCGTAATACTTACAGCTAGAAGCATAGCATTCCTCAAAATATTATGTTTCTGCAATTCTTCCTCAATACTCTGCACATAAGCAGTCAATGTTTTTAATTGATCCGGCTCCATCAAGTTACTAGCTCTCATGCTCTGTATTGGAGGACTCCAATCGTTTATAGCAATTCTATCACCTGGCAATCTTGATCTAACCCCGCCTACATAGCCGTGATCCAAGCTTGATCGTAGAGAGCTCTGCATGCTGGGCCTAGCACCAGAAGTCGATGGTCTGGTATTCTGTTCGTTGATCGCCGTAACTAAGGCGTTATTTACAATTTCATCAGACCAGCCGTATTCGATATTACTGATACCACCTACGAGAGGATGGTTTGATAACCGAGCACTCCAATAATTGGCTGTTGTGACAAATTCTTTGACGATATCTGCTGTGCCTACTTGAAAGAGATGTACTGCTCCAGTGGGCAAGGAAAGCGCCCAGACATGAGGGCGAGCTTTGGAGTAGCCTGGTGAAGGAAGTGCACTGGCAATAGTTTGTCGGAGGAGAAAAGAGCCAAGACTTTCGGCATTTTCTTGCCAATTTCCACCACCAACAACTCCGCCACTAGTTTTACCTTTAGTTTTGCGGACATTCTTGGTGGAGAAAGAGAACAAGCTCATGTAGCCCTTTTCGATAACGGCAAATGTTTCAATCCAGTTACGATCCTTTGCTTTCTTATCGAGAGCTTCTAAATGATGCTTATGCTTGACCATACCCTCCTTTGCCCATGGTGCACCAGCCAATTCTAAAGATTCATCATCAAGTAGAGGGGCAACACGAAGCTCTTCATGATCGCTGCCCCTACTTCCTGAGCTATGAACCGTCTCTTCACGAATGATTGCTTGGCTGAGAGCATTGGCGAATCCAATAGATTGTTGGTAATCGCCTTGGAATGCCGAACCAAGAGAGTCCACAGACATCGAGGTATGTTTTCCAAGAGAATACTTGCTCCAAGTACTAGACGATACCGAAGGACTCCACATAGATGATTGATCGTCCAAACTAGTTCGACTAGATCCCATCCCCGAGTTAGGATATAAACGAGGTCTCGATCTGGTCTTGTTGCTCCACTTCCCGTTTGTGCGCACGGTCTCTGCTGTTCTTCCACGAAGATAACTAGGTGACTCTGAGGGAGCTTTACTCAGAACACTAGGAGAACGGCGCAACATACCATTGGTGAATACTGAAAGAGTGCTGGATGATGAAGCCGGCATTTGTGATCTATCGACGGCACCAAATAATGGAAGCCGGTCATTCCGGATAGAATTATAAAAGTCCTTAAGAACAATCTCAACCTGTACTTCCCATGTACGTAAAGTTCCGCGGAAAGGTGCCTTGACCAAGGGGCCACAATCATCCATGGGAGTATCATAATCTAGAGGTGTAGGGGCACTTGGGTTATCAGGATCTGGACGTGGCGCAGGCTTGAATGAAGACCTCCAAGAAGGTTTTTCAAAAGCTTCAATTGATACAGCGTCGGAGTTTTCGTCGTTGACATGAGGATCATCAAAAGCGGAACTTTTTCCAGGGAGTACTGTCGGCCTAATAGGCTCAAATTCATGCACAGAATCTGCTACACTTCGACGGATCGTAGGCATTGTATTCTTGATGAATTGACTACGAGTCATCTTTTGTTCAATATCGGCAAGATGCAAATCCGTGTTGAGTAAAAGAACCGAGTAACAGATTGTGTGTACGACATCTAACAATGTTAGCTTGCTATAATTTAGATAAACTCGTAAACTTACCTGTAGTTTTAAATCCATGGTTGGGATTGCTCTGACACCACCTTTTTGAGAAAGCGTCCAAGATTCTATCAACTTGTTGACTTTCACCCTTGAGCACTAATCTGCCACACATTACGCGCATCGAGGCGAGTATATTAAGGTTTGTAAAGTCGTAAAGGCTCATATAAGCTGTCAGCGTTCTTGCTCGAACAACTCCCTCATCTCCCATCCATGCCGTCGCCTTTTCTTTTTGAATGAAATCCTCATTGCCATCGTAAATTTTATGTGCTCTAATTAAGTCTTCTTCCGTAGGTTGTGCGTCATCAATCCCTTCTGATTCAGAGTAATCAAATGGCTCAACGTCGTCTCTATCGGACATAGTAGGTGGACTGGAAGGGGGACCTTCCTCTTGTCCCTCAACTTGCAACAATGGTAGACTGACGGCCGATTTGTATATCGTATCTGTAGAACCTGTAGCTGCAATCGAGTTTGCGAATTTAGGTTTCAAGGTATTTGTACCTGGCAAATCATCTTCAGATGATCCAGGCTCCAACCAAACACGATCTTTCTGTGGGAACTCGGATTTAGAAGGAGAAATAACGACCCAATCTTCTTCTTTGGCAGGACCTACAGGTAGTTCCTGACTGTCATTCGAACCCACCGTACTCAGAGGTGAATCCAGAGGAAACTCTACTTCCTTGGGCTCTGATTTCGGTAGGACTTTGGAGGACGTTGGAGAAAGTTTGGAATGTATTCTTTCATATTCCGCAACAAGAGCAATATCTCTCGCCACCGAAGGGGAGTGACCAGGAGATGTCGTATTGGGTAACAGTGTATTACCAGGTACATCTTTCGTAACCTTCAACTTGAACTTCGCGTCACGATCATTTTCATTAGATTCTTGGAAAATGGTTTCACGGTCTTCTTTGGCTTGCCCATCGAATCCACCGGGTATTGCTAAATTGGTACTTGCCGATCTACGTGGTTGTTTAATTGACGAATAGGATGGCTTGCGACTATCTCCGGCATGTGATGACGCTGGTTTTGAAGGAGGTATTTGTCTGATGGTAGCATTTGGGTCTGGATCGTAGTCTGGAGAAAAGCCTCTTACATGGCGTTTATTTACAACATCATCGGAAATATCATTAACTTGCCGATCGAGACTAGCCGTCGGTGCATGAGCTTCAATGGGAGGTCTCCCTGGGCTATGAAGGTATGGATTCATGACTTGGCGAAGACTGCTGACGGGGCTAGCCTCAGGTTGCCAATCTGGAATGTCCGGTCGCAGTTTGTGTGGCTCGAGGTTCATGGGTGGCAACGGCATTGGTGGAACGGGGATGGATTCGGGCTCAGATACCGACTTCTTACGCCTTCGGAAGAATGATGACGGTTTTTTGGTAAGTACATGCGGTTGTTCCTTTAGGGCTTGCGGGTTTTCTCGAGACGATGCTACGTTGTTAGGCTTCATCTGGTTAGCAATATGAGTTTTGCTACCTGGATGATCCGCCGTTTCAGTAGAGGTAGTGGAACCGTGCGACGATGGTAGGTCGGGTACCGCAACATTGTTGTTTCTGGAAGAACCGAAAACCCTTCTGAAGAATCCAGGTCGTTCCTTGGGCGTTTGGGTGAAAGCTTGCGGCGACCCTAGAATATCTTTTGTTTTTGAATAAGACCGACAATTTGGCGGAGATTGCTCTTTGATGAATGCTGGCATGGGTGGCAATTCTTTACTTCGATCATTTAGATTTACACCATATTCATGCCTGGCAGTGTTCGTATACCCCTTCGACTTATATGCGCTCTTCGAGGATTTTGCGCTTCTTTTTCTTTCTAATTTCTCCATTGGGGGATCGATAAGGCTAGGGTCGGGTCTTGAGACCAAAATTGGGGATGTAGGTCGAGGGCGTCGTGGACCACCAGGTACTGTGGGTGTGGGAGCGGCGTCGTAGTCGTATGAAGGGGTCGAAGGTACATTTGTATTGTTATATCTTCCTGCATTTAATTGTGAAGTTGCTTGGTGACCGCTTCCGTAATCAAAGCTTGAAGACCTTCCTGCTA